GTTTTCTAAACATATTAGATTCAGAGTTCGGGATGGTAGGAATGTCCGGTTTTGGGAGGATTCCTGATGCGAGAACGCCCATTGTCTTTTTTGTTCCCAAGGCTGTTCAAGATTACTGTTGATAGACATGCTTTGGTTGTTGACTGCTATCGTCTTGATTGCAGTAGGTTGTCATGGGATGTGGGGTTTCGGCGTTCCTTTCAGGATTGGGCATAGTTGTTAAAGGCTCAAGGCGCACTAAGGCGCAAAGGTGCCTTGGAGCCTGAGGCGCAAGGCGCAAGGCGAGGCGCGCGCTCGACTGAAGCGATGCGCAAGTTGAGAAAAAAAAATAAAAATTAACATCCAATAAAGATGCAAAATCATGTAAACCAAATACATAAGTTTAATAATCAACATGCTAACATAAAGATGCAAAAGCAAACTAAACCAAATATTGGCGTTCAATAGTCAACATAGTAACATAGTAATTACTAACATAAAGATGCAAAAATCAACTAATTAAATAAAAAGTAAAACAAACATAGAAATGTTCACTTCATCAGTTCATCCTAACTCCCAAGAAGACCACCAAAGGATCTAAATATCATCGGATCATCCTCATCATCAATAAACATAGCACCATCTTGATCATCACTTAAAAAGTGCAACAGGCATTTTCACAGCAAAGAAAAAAGAAAAAAAAAAAGGCATTCACAGGCCACAGTCCAAAGGAAACAATAGCAGACATGCATTTTCATAGCTAAAATAGCAACATTAGGAAACAATAACAGGCGTTACAGGCATGCATTTTCATAGCTAAAAAGCCTAAAATAGCAGCGTTTCACAGGCCACACTCCAGATGAAAAACTAACAGGCATGTTGATAATTGATAGCTAAAATAAATAAATAATTAAAAAAGAGAAAAGCAAGAGCAGAAGGAAAAAAGAAAAACAGAGAAGAAGAAGGAACAAAAAAAAAACAGAGAAGAAAGAAGGGGGGAAAAAAACAGAGAAGAAAGAAGGGGGAAAAAAAAAACAGAGAAGAAAGACAAAATAAAAAAAAAATAGAAAAGAAGAAGAAGAAGACGCTGGTTGCCAGAGAAGAAGACAGACAGAGAGAAAAGCAAGAATAGAAGGGAAAAAAGAAAAACAGAGAAGAAAGAAGGAGAAAAAAAAATAGAGAAGAAGAAGAAGAAGGAAAAAAGAAATCAGAGAAGAAAGAAGGAAAAAAAAAAAAAAAAAAACAGAGAAGAAGAAGAAGAGAATAAATGGTTACCTGGTTGCCGGAGAGAGAGCTCGCCGGAGAGAGAGCTCATCGGAGAGAGAGCTTGCCGGAGAGTGAGAGAGCTTGACAAAGAGACCCATAGCTCCCGTACAACAATTGAGCCTAATTTGGGTTCCTTTACTTTTTTATTTGGACTGGTCTTTTAACTTTTTTGGTGGTAGTGGTAGGGACCACCCACCATTTAAAGTTACTTTATCACATCAGAATTTATTATACAAGAAGAAGAATGTGAAGTCTGAAATTCTGAATACAACAAATGTTTAGAAGGCAAAAATTAAAGGAAGAAGACAAAGGCTCACCTCACCATACTCAAGGCGCAGAAGCTGCGCCTTGATGCGCCTGGCGCCCGAGGCGCACGCCTGGTGCGCCTTTAACAACTATGGGATTGGGAGTTGGATGACATCACTGGTTTGTTGGCTCTCTTGTATGGAAAGGAGGTGGACAGTACTGGTGCGGATTCCTTGACTTGGGTGCCGTCGGCGCAAAGGACTTTTCAGGTCCGGTCCTTTTTCTGTCTCCTTGGGTTTCATGGCTCCAATTTCCCGTGGAAGAAAGTCTGGTTGTCAAATACACCTCTTAGGGTGGCCTTTTTTGTGTGGACAGCTGCTTGGGATAAGATTTTGACCCTCAACAATTTGAGGAAGAGAAGACAAATCATTGTGAACCAGTGTTGTCTATGCAAGATTGATGGAGAGTGCGTGGATCAACTTCGTTTGCATTGTCTTATAGCCCATGATTGTTGGAGTCTCATCCTGGGACTCTTTGGTGTCCATTGGGTCATGCCCCGGACCTCAAGGGATTTGATGGATATCTGGAGGGGCCAAAGGGTGGGGGCGCATGTTAAGGTTTTTTGGAGGGTGACCCCCCTTTGCATTTGGTGGAGCCTTTGGAAAGAGCAGAATAGAAGACCTTTTGATGGGGGTGGAATCTTCCATTGGGGCGTTGAAGTTTTCCATTATCTTTTCTCTTTTTTATTGGGGTTGGGGGAGAAATTATTCATCCATAGATGAATTGGTGGACTTTATGGGTTCTTTGGGACCATAGGTCTTTTCCTTGTTTCTTGTTTCTGGTTTTTGTACAGCTCTTGGGACGCGTTCCCCTTTTGAATGCTTTCTAATATATTTTTACTTATCAAAATAAATAAATTGTTTGGATGCCTAATATAAATGAGAAGGATAGGAAACACGACGATGCTTTGATAATTGACAAGATTCACATTGAAATAACAAATGATTTAAATTTTTGAACAGGGATGGAAACAAATGTTTTAAGTAAGAGAAACTGGGATGGCCTAACCTATAGTGCCATAACATTATTTGACTTTTAACAAAAATAGAAATATCACTACTACTTGCAGCTTAAGCTTGTCCACTCTTGAAGATTTCATTATCAAAATAATAGAGTCCATCAACCATCCTAGCACTGCCAATCATCTTCCCCGAATATAGGTCCTGAAATTCACAGTGAGAATCAAGAAATTTGACAACGCAGTTAGAATCCTTGGTGAGTTTACTAATTGATAAAAGATTGCATGAAAGGTTAGGCACGTGGAGTACAGATTTTAAAACAAGGTTTTCTGAGACAACTATAAAACCTTTTCCTGCAATTGGAGACAAACTACCATCGGCAATACGAATTTTTAAGTGACCAGAACTTGGAAAATATGTACTAAACAAATGTGATAAACTAGTTAGATGATCAGATGCACCAGAATCAATAATCCAAGGTGCCGGATTTAAAGAACTAGTGAGAGCACTTAAAGAGCTACCTTTTTGGGCAAGAGGAACCTGAGGAGACACTTGAAACCTAAGTTTGGTTCAGCAGTTTGGAGAGATGATCAAGCTGCTCCTTACTGAATGGAGATGTCTCGGTTTCAGTAGTAGCCTGCATTCCACGCCCATTATTGTCTCCAAATCTACCTACCTTCCAATTTGCTAGGTTTCCATGTAGTTTCCAGCATGTTTCTCACGTGTGCCTTGGTTTGTTACAGAAATCACACCAAATCTTGGTTTTCTCTTCAATCTTCCGCTGTGGGTGATTTGTTGGTTTTAGATTAACTGCAGATGCTGCCATTTCAATAGCTGTTACATTGAGTGCAGAGTTCTCACTATGAGTGCTAGAAGATTTCTTTCCCATCATCACCAACCTGCGGCTTTCTTCCCTCCTAACTTTCGAGAAGACTTCTCTAGTGGTAGGCAGTGGCTCTTTGCCTAGAATACGTCCTCTCACTTAGTCTAACTCAGCATTGAGTCCAGCCAAAAATTCAAATACATGGTCCTTCTCAACTGTTTTCTTGAACTGGGCACTATCACCTGCACACTTCCATTCAAAATCATAAAAGAGGTCAAATTCTTGCCACAAAACCTTGTAATATGTTGTAATACTTAGTAACAGATCTCCTTGTCTTGTTTCTCGGATCCTTGTTTTAATTTCATAAACTTGTGCGGAATTGCCTAAGCACACTCACTGCGTCCCATAATTCTTTGGCAGTGGAGAGATACATAAATGTCTGGCCTATCTCCGATTCCATAGAGTTCACTAGCCATGACATAATCATAGAATTTTTTGCATCCCAAACGGCATATGCTGGATCATCTTCCTTTGGGGCCTGCTTTGCAATAGTTAAATAACCAATCTTCCCCCGCCATCGGGCGAACAACTTTACGGATTGAGACCGCCGTAGAAAATTCTGTCCATTCAGCCGATGAGTGGTAATTTGGAGGATTGGGTTGTCACCTGAACCGGATGAAGTGATCTGGGACGTCTGAGCATTTGAAGAATCAACTGAAACATCCTCAGTAGAGATTCCAGACATTGAGGATTTAACCAAAGAAATCGTCCAGAAACGACGAAGAGAAATAGAAGAATAAGTCTTCTATAATTCTGGTATAAACGACCAAATTAACGATGAATGTTTGCTGATTTTATCGGATAATCAACAGAACAATGGCGTAATTTACAGTCCTAGTGAGGGAGGCTCTGATACCATGAACACAAAGGTGAAAAAAATTAAATTCTGATATTCTCTTTTCATATAACATATGTTAGTTCACAGGCCTATATATATAGAAGTGTATTACAAATTCTATCTAAGGAAAAGATATATACAGATCATAATTCCTATAATATAGGAACTACTTATGTAAAATTTAAAAAAGTCAACTATCTAACTATGTTATAATTCCTAAAAATCCTCAACTAATTTCCTAACAATTCAGCCTAGATCTTTCCAAAAAAATATAAAAGGTGCATGAAGACATTCCACTTGACACAAGATGCAATACAACAAATGGACAGAACAACTACCAAAGTCACAATTATATATGCACATACATGTGGTAAGTTGCACAAGCAGATGGATAGTCTTTAAACCAATTCTTCACTGATGACCATTACAAAGAAAGACGAGTTTCAAATAAGATGAGTACTAGAATCCAATCTACATGATATTTGACGCACATGAAAGGAAGACAAGTTTCAAATGGGATGAGTACTGATATCCAATCTACATAATCTATGGAACGAATGAAGGGTGTGTGAGGGATATCTAATCCACCAATGGACTTGGCATAAAGTGAATCCAACAAATGTTAGATTAGCAAGTTTGAGCAAGTTCTACTCTCCTAATTCTATATATGTCATGAACACATTTACTTGTACATTATATGTGTACATGCGTTGTAAGTGGAAGAAGCAAATGAATTTCCAATGAAAAAGTTGTTGACCATAGGCCTTACCTGTTGTGTTTTATTCAGATTTACAACTGCTATCTGAGAGTCTCCACTATCAGCACTGTATACAGCAAGTAGGCTATCTCCATCTGGGTGCCATGCTATATCTTCTGGCCATCTTCTCTGCTTTGGGGATACACAATCAGTAGCACTAAGTAGATTGGCACTTGATCTGCAATTTCAAAACAATAAGCATATGCAATGCACCAAATCCTTGAATCACAAAGCAGAGAGACAACTGAATTGGATAAAATACATACAACAGAATTAGAACTCTTCTCATTTTTCTCACCTCCAAAAAGCTAATGCTATAGGTTTGTTGCTAGGAAACTCTGCTAATGTTTAGCTTGAAATGTACAAAATGCTGTACGTGCAAACATTGAGAGTAAATCACAAGACAGATCCGTCAAGAATGATTTTGGATACATTCTTGAAAAAGTTGGGGAGTAACACCTACTGGACCAAGATGAGAGAATAAATTTAAGCCTAGGGGCTATTGTTTGGTGCACCGGTTAAAACTCAGTCTTTTAAGCATCATAACGCGAGTAAGAGAAAAATCATTTTGTGCAAATAATGACAAATGTTAAAATTGCGAACAGTCTACTCCTCCAAACGCCTTTGACTACAAGGACAACAACACTAGGTAATGTCTTTTTTTACCATATGCAGAAAGCAAGAATAACTACATTTGTGAGGAGAGACATGATACAAGTTCAAATTGCTGCAAAAACGAGGTAAATGCCAAAATACAGGCATCAGCTTAGGAAAAGCAATGTAGTCCTAAATCCTACATAATTTAATATCTCATTGCATCGATTTACAGTACCAGCACGTTACGAAAACAAATAGAACGTCTCCAAAAATGTTGAATATAAGAATGAAATGCAAAGAGAGAATCTACCGTTATATGAAGTGGTTGGAGTTATCATCTCTATCCCAGTAATAGTTTGAGTGACAGGTTAATTATCAGTAATTGGTAAAGCATTTAATGCTCTATTCAATAATTTTTGGCTTAGGGAAAGATTTTTATGGCTGTGTTTTTGGTTTTGGAAGCTAATTGGTTAATTCTACAACCTCCACCATTTGTTGTGGTCAACCTGTTTGCATATAAATGCTGCTCTGTAAAGCTGGGATGTACATTTTTCACTTTGTCAGGTTAAACAATTCAATATATTGTGTTCTCCTGGTCCTATTTATACTCATTCAGACAAGGTTTTAACTTTTAAGCTATGTGCATGTACTCTTCCAAATTAGTTGAAGTACCTGTGTCAGATACATAATACTCAGACATGAGTATGGAATATGTGCCTGATACTTTTAGTTGGACGTGCACCTAAATAGCATATCTTATAATTCAATTTCATTAAATTATTGCTTCAAAATGAGTGAAAGACATATATTGAATATTATGCTAAAGACAATATTTTACTCTAGAAAATAATATAAAAATAATAGCTGATATGAATATATAGTAGTTTCCTTGTATTCTTCAGTTTAGAGATTTGACACTACCGACACTCGGATTGTGTACCCGCACCCAACACACGTATTCAAGTCCATCTAACATAGACTTTAAGCAATATTAACATCCATCGCAACAACGATAGTCATGGTGTAGGATGGGACTAACAAGGGTGTAAAGATTGTGCCTCAACTTTTTTCTCCAAATCACATGTTTAATCCTTGACCCCATAAACTTGAGTTTTTAGTGAATTCTTTTGAATTATAAAGAAGATTTAATACAGGTAACAAAATTTGCATTGAATTTTAAATTGTTGCTAGAAATAAAAGTTTACTAATTTCTACCTCTTACGATTTTTATGACCACAAATGAACTTAAGCATGAAAAATATAAATCTTGTTTAGATATTTTATACTACATAACTTATAAATTAAAATTGTTATTTAGTAGAAAATACTAACTAAATTTTGTTCGGTTAGTAACTTGGATTTATTTTTTAATCTTGTATTTATTACTGAAAGGAGATACTTCAAACATCATCTAAATTTGAAAATAAAAAATAGAAAATTAAATCAGAATGAAAATAAAAAATATGAAAAATTATATGAATTCAGAAAAATAGAAGTACTTCAACATCATCTAAGTTTTGACAAAAATAGAACCACCTTAATTGACAGCTTAAAAGTACAGGTCACCAAAAAGAGAGAAAATAATTCATTCATTTATAAAGAATTTATCCCTTGATGGACAATTCCAATAAGTATAGATAACAAAAAGGTCCGTGCTTTGGAGGCATCTTATTGTTTGTCGGTTTGGGGAAGAGGAGGGAGGTTGGGTGTCTAGAGGTGTGACTTCATCAGCAGGTATGGGTTCATGGAAAGGTATTAGGAGGGGGTGGGACGAATTCTCTAAGCGGATACGGTTTCGAGTTAGGGATGGTCGTTTTGTGAGGTTTTGGACGGATGTTTGGCGTGGGGATGTGGCGTTGGCTTGTAGGTTTCCTAGACTTTATAGGATGGTTGAGGAGAAGCATGCGGTGGTGGCAGATTATTTTAGGTTAGAGAATGGGAGGGCTAGTTGGGATGTGAGATTTCACAGGAATTTTAATGATTGGGAGTTGTTGGAGGTTACCGAATTAATGAGATTAATTTATAGTCAAGTGGTGAAGGGGGAAGGAAGGGATGAGATGGTGTGGATGGGGTATTCTAGAGGAGTGTTTAAGGTGAGGCTGTTTTATAAAAGTCTTACGAATTCGATAAGCAACGGGTTTCCTTGGAAGGCTGTATGGAGGACTCCTTGGAAGGTGGCTTTTTTCACGTGGACAGCGGTGCTTGGCAGCATTCTTACTCTGGACCATCTCAGAAAAAGACGCCAAATAACAGTTAATTGGTGTTGCACGTGTAGGAAGGCGGGCGAGTCGGTTAATCATCTCTTGCTGCATTGTAGAGTGGCAGCGGATGTGTGGAGTTTGGTCCTGAATTTTTTGGGGTGGAATGGGGAGTGTCAAGTAACATGATGGATATGTTAGAAGCTTGGAAAGGGAGACGAGTGGAAAGTCGGGTTAGGAAGGCGTGGAGGGTTGCACCTCTTTGTATTTGGTAGGGGTTGTGGCACAAGCAGAATAGGAGATCTTTCGAAGGACAGGAGTCGCCGGTGTGGGTTATCAAAGCGAATATTTTGCATTCTCTTTATTCTTGGGTTAATGGGAAAAATTGCCCATCTGTAGATATTTTTTTGGATTTTGTTGACAACTTATCGTTGTAATGACGCATTTTGTGTATTTTGTTTGCTTTGTTAAGGGTTCACTCCCCTCTGATCGCATTTGTTAATATATTTTTACTTATCAAAAAAAAAAAGCATAGATAAAAAAATGAAAAATATAAGAGTTTAATAGCTACCAATTCAATGAGATTTCAGAGCTGTTTAAAGATCCAAACTTAAATACTGTGTACGGAATATTTCAGAGAGTATATCAACCTATTTGATGTTTTAGGATAGCAAAAAAACTTATTCTTTGAGGCAAAAACATAGAAAGATAAAAAAATGAGAAAACATGATTTTATATTCATGGTCTAACTTGACCTGTAAGGTGCTATTACAGGCACTTGGGCAAACCTTTACACGAGGATCATTGCACATAGTACAATGAACGACGGACAATTACTTAAACCATAAAAATCTATGAATAATATTTTGTGCATCTGGCCCTGCAAGGATAAGAATTCCTACGATATGAAATTTTATAAAGGAATATGTGATTGCTCAGGCATATTTAATGATTTAGCGGTCTCTTTGTTTACTCAAAATAATCAGTGTCTCTCTGCATTAGATAAAGTTCTGTGCAGCATATCATGACCAAGTTCTATCTGTTTTTGTTTAAAAGCCTAAACCTCTCTAATATTTTATCTTTTTTAAAATTGTTTCACTACAAAAACATTTTAGTTCTTTAGAACATTGTCTACAAAATTTGGAATTTACTTTCGTTTGATAGAAAGAACCAAGTCAAAGTAAACATACTATTTGATTTCGCTCCAACACATTTATTATAAAATTCTGAAAAATTATAATCCATTAGGTGGTTCCTTCACAGTTATGCCATTAAAATTAGTAATCATTATTTGCTAGCATGGATAAAGAATTGGATCAACACCAAGAAGCATGTCACATATGCTGTGAGTTATGACCATATTTATTAAATGAGCTGCTGGAATAAATCCTTTAAAATGAAACATAAGAATAACCACAATATTTTCTTAGGGTATTACCCACTATATTCACAGTCCACTGGACTGAGAATATATCTGTCAAAGACTCAAAGCACATGATACAACAGTAAACTCAATTGTACGACATAATGCCTTATTGCTTCTCCTTTCAATAACATCTGACAACATTTCACGTAAAAACAAATATTTGGTAAATGCATAAAGACAAGGACAAGATCATAAATGTACCCTCTGGCCTGAACTTGCCACAAGTTGACAATTCCATCCAAAGCGCTGCAAAATATGAAAGAGTAATATGAAATTCAATAAAGTTAAGTATAATCCTGAGTTACTGAGGTCATTATAAAAGATAGATTATTTTTCTCAGAAAATGAAGCAAACATGTGATAAATATACTGGTCACAAACCATGGTATCAGCACAATAAAACATTTTTATGGAAGCAAAACTCGTCATTATTAAAAGTTAATTTATTTGTGTTATCTAGGTCCCATCAGTAATAAAAACATCTTTTTCTCTGGGACTCGCAAGTGGGTCAGCTATTATTGGTAATGGAAGACGAATAACAAGTTCATAGTTCCACGGAAGAGTTGAATTGAGGAATTCAGTATGACATCTACCAGACTTTACAATCAGAACAATAGCACTTGAGTAATATAAGCTCTATTTTTTTTTCTTCTCTTTTTTCCCTTTCTCTTCCCCTCTGTAAGAGCAACCCTAAAATTTACCAAAACCATAATTTTATCCAAAAATTAGCAATAACTACGAGAGAGGACTTAGCTTTTATCGTGCTTATCCAATAAGCTAGCAGGATAGCAGTCTACCTTACACTGCACTAGTCTCCAGTGCTTTACAACCCTTCTCTCTTACACCATATCAGATAAGGCCGTCCTCTTAATTAAGAGGCAGTTCCATGATGCAGCAAATCCTGCTAAGGCAGGCCTCTCTAAGGTAATTCATATTGTTTTTCGTACCTTAAATACCTATGGAGATAATAATTAAGAGTTTGAAAAGTGAACGGTAACCGTTAAGGGTATGGACTATATGTAGGCAAGAAAAGAGAGTGTTTAGGAACTACTATGGGTTCTGTGTATGATACCTATGAACAGTGACCTTTAAAATTTGTATCTTTTTATGTGTTATTTGAGAAAGGTAGGGGTTTGGGCTTGTGAAATAGATTTTAAGGGTAAAAAGACAAAAATAGATATACCCGGCGCTGGGTTTAAAAGTGTGGAAATTAAATAAAGAATGAAGAAGAATAAACTATAGGACTTGTAACAAAAAAGGGCAAATAACACTAGTTTTCTTGGAGGTAAGCCTCAATTTACACGCATGTCACGTTTGGTCAAAAAAAAAACACTGACTTCCTCTATAGAGTTTGTTGTTTAAATAGGGACCGATGTTGATGATGCAACACCCATGTCAATGTATATGTGTAGCAAAAAGACAATTGAGAGAAATTGAGAAAGTAGAGATATGAAGTAGTTCTTGTGAGTTGAAATATCCTAATGGTAGTTTCTGACTTAAAGATACAAATAATGGCAGTGAAACTAACCATAACATTTATGGCAACAATCCAATTTGGGCTAGTAGTCGTGGTTCTATACTATGTTACATGGAATCTTCAAAAGTAGTGAAGTACCCGTGTCGGAAACATATTGCTCGGACATGGGTATGGGATATGTGTCCGACACTTTTAGTTGGACATGCACTTAAAAGGCATATCCAATCATTCAATTATATTGTATTATTACTTTAAAATGAGTTAAAATCCTATATTGAACACTATATTAGAGGGAAAAAAAAAAAATTCGTTTACTCTAGAAAATAAAATGAATTTTTAGCGGTGTCCATGTGTCCTTCTGTTTAGAGATTTGACACGTCCGACGCATGGATACATACCCAAATCCGACACATGTAACCAAGCCCATGTAACATAGGTTCTATATGGAAGAGACTCAGAACTAGTAATTTTTACTTAAAAAAAAAAAAAAAATCCCCTTGTTGACGATGTTATGGAATGGAACCTGGTTTATTCATACCGAAATTAAGATATGACTCTCTCTAACTTTTAATTTTTGTGAAGTTACTAGAAAAGCTGCTTTGCATCTCTATCCCTGGTTGATTTGCCTTTGCTCTCTCTCTCTCCACATTACCCCCCCCCCCCCCCCCCCCCCCCCCCCCCCTCCCTCCTCCCCCTTTTCTTTTTCCTGTGTCCAGAATGAAATCTAGCCACCCGTATCACCACTGTGCTAACATCAGCGCACCAAACTACTTGCCACTATGCAGGTCTCTCCAGGTTATCCAGCCAAGTCCATAAAATCTCAGTCTAAATTTTGAAATCAAGATAATGAACTTCGCAACGGTGTTCGTAGATTTTAGGTGACAATGGTTTAAGATTTGTGATGTTGGTCAGTTTGATTGTAAGTGGAAGTTCTAATCGTGAAAGGAGCGAGTTAGTGGGTTGAGCACCTGAGTGGTTTATTGTCTAGTGGTAGCGATGGGAGAAATCAATATTTGAAAAAAGGAAGAAAAGATGGGAAGGTGATGATGGCTGCCAGTGATTATAGGGGTGGAAGTGGTGGCAGCAAAGGGTCTGAGAGGGAGAGGAGGCCGGGGGGGGTGGGGGGAAGGAAGGAAAAAGTGAAAGAAGAGAATAATTTCAATTTACGAAGGTGGAAGTGGTGGTTACTGGGTTATAGGAAAGGTTTGAGGTAGAATTGAAAGAACATATTTTTTTTTGACAAGTAAGATTTCATTAAAGGCGTTCAAGAGGGGAGCGCTCCCAAAAGAATACACAAGACGCCAAAGGCAACTACTATAGCTTTAAGCTATCCACAAAATCAAAAGATGCCTCAAAGATTTACAATTGGGGCAATTTACCCCTACAAATAAAGAATACAATTCTTGTATTTGAGAGACCAAACAGGTGTCTCCTCACCCTCAAAGGATCTCCTATTTCTCTCACACCACAAGCCCCACCTTAAACAAAGGAGAGCGGCCCTCCAAACATCCCTGGCTCGGCTCTCCACTAAACACCCTCTCCAAGCCTCAATCAACTCCACTGTAGATCTTGGGAACACCAGCGACATGCCAAATGCGATCAAAAACATAGCCCAAGCGTCTCTAGCCACAGGGCAGTGTAGAAGAAGGTGATTTATGTATTCCTCCGTCTTCTTACACATACAACACTAGTTAACTACCATATGTCGTCACCTCCTAAGATTGTCAAGGGTTAGAATACTTTCGTGAGCGGCAAACCATGCAAAGAAAGCCACCTTCAAAGGGGTTTTTCACCTCCAAATTGCCTTCCACGGAAAGGGAGAATAATTTCAATTTACGAAGGTGGAAGTGGTGGTTACTGGGTTATAGGAAAGGTTTGAGGTAGAATTGAAAGAACATATTTTTTTTTTGACAAGTAAGATTTCATTAAAGGCGTTCAAGAGGGGAGCGCTCCCAAAAGAATACACAAGACGCCAAAGGCGACTACTATAGCTTTAAGCTATCCACAAAATCAAAAGATGCCTCAAAGATTTACAATTGGGGCAATTTACCCCTACAAATAAAGAATACAATTCTTGTATTTGAGAGACCAAACAGGTGTCTCCTCACCCTCAAAGGATCTCCTATTTCTCTCACACCACAAGCCCCACCTTAAACAAAGGAGAGCGGCCCTCCAAACATCCCTGGCTCGGCTCTCCACTAAACACCCTCTCCAAGCCTCAATCAACTCCACTGTAGATCTTGGGAACACCAGCGACATGCCAAATGCGATCAAAAACATAGCCCAAGCGTCTCTAGCCACAGGGCAGTGTAGAAGAAGGTGATTTATGTATTCCTCCGTCTTCTTACACATACAACACTAGTTAACTACTACATGTCGTCACCTCCTAAGATTGTCAAGGGTAAGAATACTTTCGTGAGCGGCAAACCATGCAAAGAAAGCCACCTTCAAAGGGGTTTTTCACCTCCAAATTGCCTTCCACAGAAAGGGAGGACCTAGGATCACCGAAAGGCTGTGATAAAAGGCTCTAACCTCAAACACCCCTCTTGGAGTACCATCCCACACCATCTCCTCCATTCCCTCCCCCTCCACCACCTGGTTATAGAGCAAGGCTAAGAATTCTGCAACCTCCGTAAGTTCCCAATCATGAAACTCTCTATGAAAATGCACATCCCAAGTCAACCTTCCGCTATCAAATCGATAACAATCTGCAACCAAAGCATGTATTATCAAAGAGATCTTGAATAACTGAGGAAACCTATAAGACAAGCAAAGTCCCCACACCAGCGATCCTCCCAGAACCTGACGTGACTCCCACTCCGAACTTTGAATTGGATATGTTTGGGAAAAACTCATCCCACCCCTTCTGGATATGCTTCCAAGTGCCTATCCCCGCTGGACCTCTCCCTTCCCTAGACAGCCACCCACCATCACCCTCCCCACGACAACAAGCAATGACCCTCCTCCAAAGGAGAGGCCTCTCCCTTCCAAATCTCCAAAGCCATTTGCCTAACAAAGCATTGTTGAACATATCCAATCTCCGAATGCCCAAGCCCCCCTTGTGAAGCGGGGAGCACACCTTATCCCAGTCACCAAATGGTAACTCATCACCTATGCCGCCCCATAAGAAATTCCTCTGGATTTCCTCAAGTCGTTGAATAATGGCCTTTGGCATCAAAAAGATGGTCAAATAATAGGTTGGAAGGCACTTATCAAAAAGAAAATAATAATAATAGGTTGGAAGGCTTGAAGGATGCTCTTCATTAGGATAATCTTCCCCCCTTTCGAAAGGTATTGCTTCTTCCACCCTGCAAATCTCCTCTCAAACCGCTCGACCACGGGTCCCAAACTGAAATGCTCCTCAAAACAGCTCCCAAAGGGAGTCCAAGATAAGAAAATGGGAGGACGCCAACACCACACCCAAGAATATCTGCAAAGTCCTTAATACCATCGACTGCCCCGACTGGGACCAACTCACGCTTCCCAATATTGATCTTCAACCATGAAACAACTTGAAAACAGGCCAGTACACACCTTAAGAGCCTCAACTGATCCACCCTAGCATCACAAAAAACGATAGTATCATCCGCAAACAGTAGGTGAGAAATTACCAGCTCATTAGGACTATTTCCCACTGAGAACCCTCAAATAAATCCCAATACTTCCGCCCTCCTCATCAATCTCCTGAACCCCTCCATAACAATGATAAACAAGAAAGGGGAAAGAGGATCACCCTAGCGCAAACCTCAAGAGCTGGCGAAGAAGCCAGC